AAAAAAAAAAAGAAAACCATTGATCTTCTTCTTTGACCAAACTAGGAATTTAGATGGGAAAGAACATATATGGTCGAAAATTGGTTTTCTTCACAATTCTTGACTTTTGATGTCTAGTGGTCGATCAAATGGATCAAGCATCAACAATGTGTCCATCAATTTAGAGATTGATGATGTTGGATAGTGCATTAATTAGAAATTATTTCGACGAAAAAAAGTTGAGATTTAACTGTCAATTTGAATGACATTTAGCAACAATTGTAGAAGGTAGAAATCTACCTCCTGCAAATGAGGTTATTGCCAATTGCTTTTGTGGCCACTATGATGGTATTTGGTGTCAAGGGTGGTGGTAGATGGCAAGGATGAATTTTGAGAAGAAAACTTTTCCTTTTTCTATTTTATACCGAATCAATTTCCTTCTATTTTTGGATATTTTAGCTAAATAGTAAGAGTATATCATATGACGGACTTTTTAACTGTCAAATATTTTGACGGAAATTGTTACCGCGGACAAATTTTGGTAAAAAAAAAAAAAACTTAAATGTTGGGGACTGTTCTGCTAATAAATGAATGTTTAGGATGAAATCGAGACAAATACCATAAGTTAGGGACTAATATTGAAATTTGTCCCTAAATCTCATACATGGCTCTCTTTCATCCATTCATAGCTCTGCTCCGACAACACTCAAAAGGAAGCGATCAAAGGCCAAATCAACAATTAAAACAAGCTTCTTTTTTACAGGTATATTAGTTCTTCAACTTGTTTCATTACAAAGTTTTAGCCAAAGAATAAGAAAGAAAACCAAGATAAATTCAGCTCAAGTAATATATTTTTAGCTTGTTTCTTGTTTAATTTTACCAATAAAAAAAAAAAAAAAAAAGAGGAAAGTAAAAGATCACATTGGTTGAACTTTAAGCAATTGGGCATGGCATTTTTCGAACGAGTGAAAAGGAAATGAATTTTGTGGCAAGAAACCCCATTAGAGGATAAATAGTTGGAGTTATCTATTTATTAGAATTATTCTTTTTTACTTTTACAAAATGTCAAAATCTCCTCCATTTTCAAGTAAATGGGTAGTTATCATAAGTCAGAATCAATTAAGCAAACTTTGTTTGCATGTGATCTTCTTTTTCCTTTTGTTCATTTTCTCTGCTACCAAGAGAGCTTGATGTAATTTCTATTTGATGATTCCGTATAGTACTTTGCGGATCTAATAGGATTTCATGTGTGTAGTATTGTTGTTATGGCAAGAAAGATGTTGATTGATGGGGAGCTGGAAAAGCCCAATGAAGAGAAGACTCAATATGACTTTGATTTGTTTGTGATTGGTGCTGGCAGTGGTGGAGTTCGTGCTTCTCGGTTTTCAGCGCAATATGGAGCCAAGGTTTAATTACGGGAAAAGCCTACTCTAGTATATAATATATGGTGTTGCATTGTTGTAGTTGGTGTTTCTTAATCACGTGTAAATGCTGTAGAGGTATATTCATGACCTTGAGTTGTAGAAGATTCAAAAATTAAGTATATAAGGCTAAACTGGCTTTGGTGCCTTAAGCCATCTGTAGTTTTGTCATGATTTTGACTATTGAATGATCTTTAATGCATTTTCTTCCCCCCATTTTGTTTCACTTTAATAGGAAGTAAGATCTGAAGTAGTATGGGGTTTGTAAACAAAAATAGGGGTTTAGACAATAAATGGGTTTTCCATCTGCCTAACCATGTTTTTCACTGTAAATATTATTTATTTTTTTCCTCACTGACATAGGAAAGTTCAACAAGATAGTATTTCTGGTTGGTCTTAATTCAAACTGATGGAGAAAGATTTCCAAATCCTGTGGGTATTAGATTTCGATTGTCAAGGTTCAGTTTGGAGACATTCAGAACTGTTCCAGGGTTGTGAATAGTATTGAAGAACAGTACTTTTAAAAATCAGTATTGTTTTGAAGCCAAATGGTGGCAGGATCCCATTAGGACTCTTTATTAGCAATACATAAAAGGTTAATCCGCTCTGACCTAAGAGCAGAAATCTAGAATTGAGGTGGTTTGAGTGAAACCAAGCAATCATAATAGAGAGAAACTTTATTCAAGTAAAGAGCGTTCATATAGCCACCCCAATTTACTGGGAAGAAGGTTTAGTTTCTTCTTGTATTATCAGAATAAAGAGATTACAATAGTTTTTAATACTTCATAGCTTATCTTTTTAGAAAAGGTATGCTTCTAACTAGAAAGTAAACACATATAATTTCCAGATCAATCTATATTACTAAGGTCTCCTAATAAAATCCAAAAGGATACAAAATATTAATCTAAGATTCAAGGACCAAAGTTATTGCAAATCTAAAAAATTATATAAAAACCCTCGTCATCTAATTGCAAATAATCAAACTTGAGGAAAATACTTTATAGTCACCCTGGATACTTTCATTTGACCAACTGGACTTCTTTCTTGTCATAGAACCCACAATCGTTTTTAGAGTTTCAAAATTCTTCCATTATTTGCATAGCCCAGAATCTACTGTGTTAACTTAGTTGTATGTTAGAAATCTTCCCATCATTTATGATTGTTTCTTTCAAGTCTTTTTATGGTTATGTTCATTCCCTGCCAGGACTTTTTTATTATTATTCTGTTGCTGATGAAGTTTGAATATGTTATCAGGTCGGGATATGTGAGCTTCCATTTCATCCTATCAGCACTGAAGTTATTGGAGGAGTTGGCGGAACGTAAGTCTGCCTAGTAATAGTTGTAGATTTTTCTTATTTTGGTATAAAAACATCCTCTTTCAGATGATGTCATGAACATATATAGATGTCAAATATATGCATATAGAGGAGCTTGCTGTGCCTTCATAGTTAGCTGGTCCAGAATTGTCTGTTGTTAATATACGCTTCTTTCCTTTCATGAATATCTGAGTTTGATTTTTTTGGCAAGTTTGGAAAAAGGGGGATGAAGATGATGCTAAGAAACTAAATTTTTTGTGTTTCAGGTGTGTTATTCGTGGTTGTGTTCCTAAAAAGATTTTGGTCTATGGTGCATCCTTTGGATCTGAATTGGAGGTGAGATTATGACTTGATAAGACGAAGAGATGATATGGGGTGAATGTGTCTTGAAAAATTAAGACGAAGAGATGATATGGGGTGAATGTTTCTTGAAAAATCTCTGTTCAAATTCTCATTATTTTCTTTTCTCTGGTACGTTAGCAAGTTATGTTTTGAAAATGTGTATTGAAAAGTCTGTTGAAATTAATATTGCCTTCAAGTTCTTCTTTTCAAATTTGGCAGGGAAGGTAATATAACAGTTGAGAGAAGAATGCTCAGAAATGTCTGAAAAATGTTGTTTTTAGTCAATATTCAGAGAGTGAATGTTTATATCAGTGCCAAAGGTTTACCTATCAAAAAATATCAGTGCCAAAGGTCTCATAGAGTTTATTGGTTTATATATCTGATTGGTGATATGTCAAATTTTGAAATACTGCATGAGATTCTCTCTCTCTCTCTCCTTTTTTTTTTTTTTTTTTTTTTTAATTTTTTTTTGGGGAAAATTTTGGGGGGGAAAAAACATATTTTAGTTTTTTTTT